AAAAAAAAAAAGGAAAAATTTGGAAAACAGAAATATCACAATATAATAAAAGCAGTGAAAGAAAATACACACAAAAAAGAGGTTTTTTTGGTCCTAAAGTCCATTTGCTATATGGTCAGCTTGAGAGTGAGAAAAGATTGGAAAGAAAGGCCTTGTACCTTCCTTCCACCTCTGCGGTGACCCTGTCATCTCACATATGGACTCCATGCACTGACGGAGCTAAGGCAACATGTACTGCAGGTGCCAGCAGAAGCCTTAGTGCCATCCCTGTTTTCTCTGCCTTTGAGACACAGTGAATCCTACATTTACTTACAAGTCCTACAAAGTTATAAATAATATGTCCTTGAGTTTTATGAAGTATTACATTTATACATTCACATATGTAGTGATTATAATTTCCATATATAGTGTAGGAATTTAAAGTATCCCTAGAGGGCTAAGAATTTCATTAATAAAATTCACCCCTCTTGTGAGACACAGGTTCTCTTTAGGTTCAAATCTCTAACATAAATTAATTATTGCTTTATAGGTGGTGTTAACCTACTCTAAAAGGAAAAAAGAAGGAACAAATAGAGGGAAAGTGGTTCACTTAACAAAGCAGGTAAGTAAAACTGTCAGTCTCTAGCACTCAACCAGAGGATAAGAAATTTGGAACTTTGAAACTCTTTGTAGTGGTTATTTTCTCCTAAAGCTTTCTCAAGGTTATGGTTTTCCCAGGGTATAGAAGAATTATTTCCCAACCCATTCATTCTATTTCCCTCATTGATTGTACTATACTAAGGGTTGTCTGCTTACTAATTTCCCTGCAGAATTCTCTGGAACTTGCCTTAGAGTATTCTATCACTAGGTTCATATCTTCAGATATGAACTAGTAAATTTGACCAATTGCATTCCACTCAACCTACAACTGTATAAGTAATAGAAATGGTGATGGTAGTCACTCTGGTCATGCTAATAAAATTTTGGCTGTGATAATACAGCCTTCTGCCTAGGAATGAACTAGTATAAAGGCACTGTCCTTCAACTGCTCAAGAAATTTCTAGAGTTGGTGCCTCAGAAAAGTAACTATATCCCTCCCATCACCTTAACATCAATTCCACAGAAGTGCAACATGCTTTGTTTTTGTGTTTTCAGGGTTATATATATATATAGGTAGATAGATAGATAGATAGATAGATAGATAGATAGATAGATAGATAGATATAGATATATACATATATTTAGAACGTGGAATGCAAAATATGCCAAAGTATACATTTATTATTACACTTGAAGTTAGAATCTTCTTGATAAATCTGTTAAATGTTTATAGCTTAGGTCTTCTGGGCTGTAAGAATCATTAATGAATAAATTTTCTATTGTCTTTTTTCTTTCATGTCCCCAAAAACAAACAAATAAAAAAAAAACTAATATCAAGTTAATCAATTCAAGAATGTCTTAATTTCTTGTGCAAGAGAAATTAAATTGGCTCATATTTAAACTGGCCTAGTCTTTCAGGTTCCTACACCAAGGAGACAATATGGTGTTTACCCATGTGGGTCTGATTTATTTCACTTATGAGTATGGTCTCTAGTTGCATCCATTTACGTACAACATCTTGAAATTATCTTTTCTAATAGCTGAGTAATATTGCTCAAAATATACAATAGATGATAGGAAAGGGAAAGAAATTGCTCAAAGGAAGGAATGACTGGGATGAGGGGAAGAAGAAAAAAGAAAGAAGGAAGACAAAATATAAATATATATGAATAGCTGCTATAATTGTATTGCTGATGTCTGAAGGTGTATTGAAATGAACAGTTAATAGTTACTATTTTTTTATGTTCTGATCGGTTGTGCATGCTTGTGTCCGGTGGTCTGAGCAACTGATTTGAAGGTAACAATATGCAATGGAATTACAATGGTGAACTCCTACCATGTTGTCTAGTGAAGCTCTGTATTATCTCTACTGTTTTATTGAAGAATTATTTTCTTATTCCCTTTAATGGTTTGAGCAATCTTTCATTCTTACATCTGGTAATCTGAGCAATGTAGTTGAGGATAGCGATATGTAATGTAACAACCACTGTTGATTCATATTAATTTGTCTTAAGACCCTGTATCACTTTGAATGTTCTTGGATTTGTTTATGTTTGTGACACTGGCATGCTGCTACTGTTCTATTTCTTTGTTTGTTTGTTTCTCATGTACTCTCTTTAAAATAAAAAAAAATAAACTGGCAAATTCTGAATATTGCTATTAGATCATTTCCTCAGTGCACCTATGAATTCTTCGAATAATCTTAAGGCTACCAAAACACATCAAGGAAATGTCAAAGGAAGGTGTTTCTCATTTGTTCAACCAAGAACTGTCCACAGAGTATAAGGAATTTTGTTCTCCTTTAGAAGAAACTATCACCTGAAATTACAGAAGTCATGGTACAATGCAAGCGTGTCTTGTTCTCTGACATGCGGGATGTATGTCGTTGAATTTATACATCTTAAAAGACATTCGCCATTCTTCTCCACTAGTTCACCAAAGAAGTGATGTAATGGCCTATAAAATTTAATAATATATTTCAAACACCTCTTAAAAAGAAAACCTTTTAACTTTGTTCTATAGAAAACCTAGACATATTTGAAATCTTAACAGTGCTTCGTCTTCTGACATTCAGAACTATATCTCTTTTTAAAATAATATGTAAGCTGCAAGTTTCCCTTCATTTTCCCATAATTAACCTAATTTTCCTTTTGGGCCCATTGACTTCCACTGTGAAATATTAACAGCTAGGCGGGGCAGGCCCCTTCAGAGACAGGTTCCTGTACTTACTGAAGAAAAGAGGCTGCCCTTTCAGAAGACTGAAAAGACTTGTTTTCCTTCTCGTTTCAGCTCAGGCTTATTGGAGAAACTCACAAAGAATCATCCATGAGCAAGTCACTCTGACTTTTTTTGACAAGTAGAAAAAAAAACTTTGCTCATTGTAACACAAAATATTTACACTGAAGTGACTCTGTCCACCATTTGAACGATTACGACCTCAAACTGCTCATGCTCGAGAATGTGCCCCCATCTACCTGGGGTGGAGGTCCCTGTGTAAATATTTATGAGTTTTCCCAACGAAGGCGTCTTGCTTTCTTTCGAGGCACGAACGCAGCTTTGTAAATGAAGTGCATTGCTCTCCTTACTTGCTGCAAGCAGTAAACCCTTATCTCCTGCTTATGTTTACCCACTGCATTGAGTCATAATATTGTTTTTGGCCCTGGAAAGAGACAATTGTTCATATGTGGAGACTTTAAAATGTTTATAAGGAAGTTTGAAGATGTGTATCAGAACCAGTGTCTGGATAAAGATGGAGGCTATTTTTGCATGAGGTAGGGTAATTTCGTTATTTCTTACATAGAGTTTTTTAATTCATGTAAGCCATCCCCCTGTATCTGTTTCATACCAACTAGAAATCAACAGCAGGAGATTTCTGATGAAGACCTAGAACTGATCATTTCTGATCCTTCCAGAATCTAAACAATACTGCCATCCACTATCTTTATATGAAATTTTCTTCAGTATATTTCAAATTTATCCAGAAACTTCAAATATGAGTAAATTGTGTGTAACCTTTAGTAAATCTTGCTTTGGGCATTTCATATCTATTTTCCCAATAGACCACTGTCCCCTTTTCCCCTTACCCCACACCAATAAACTTAAGAGATAGCTCTTAGACAGTCTAATAATCACATTACCAGTCACGGGAAAAGACACATTATGGAAATATTCCCAATTACTGTTCAGCTGATAAGTTTCTTTATCAAATATATCTCATTCTTAGAAACACTTTGTGTGTGAATCACAGGAAAATCACCAAAGTAAAAGTACCTCTTGCACTAGTTAATTAGAAAATCCTACTAAAGAATTCTACAAATTCTAGACACCAGAATTTATTGCTTTTGAATGACATTTTAAAAATCAGTGCAAATAAAGTAGAGAGACTCTATAAGTGACTTTTGTAAACTACAAATGTATTCAATTTCATTATTATTTTCCTCTCAGGCACTACTGGACACCCCACTTTCAGGTCTTCTATGACTTTTGCTTTCATCTGCTGCTTCCTCTGTCCCTAATACTTATTCTTGAAAAAATTAACAGATTTGGAGGTGGAGAAAGTTTATTTCCTACACAGTTAATGACATGTGAGGACTAGACAATAGCCATGTTAAAGACACAGGAGTGTCAGTGTCTGGCATTCTGTCTCAAACTCCCTGGTAGCAGAACGCAACAGTACTTAGCTGGGTTTTTTTACCCAGTTTTCTTTATTTTGCTTAATCCCTTTCTTAAAAACCTTTGAAATACATTCTCAGAACCTGCTCCTTGAAGCAGTTCAACTTACATGAATAGCCGCTAAATTTCACTCCAGAATGAAGCCAAAACATAATAAGTTATGGATTATAATCTATGGTAAGTATGAAATAATGTTTTTTTCATGAAGAATAAAACACAAATGAACAGACATCACACAAGTCGTGTGCATCTGTGCACCACCAATGAACGAAGAGTAACTGCTCCTCCGAGGTATCTGGTGTCACAGCTTCCCTGTCCTTGACATCTCTGCTGCTTTGTTAAGAAAGTTATTTTCAAACACTATACCTTCATGGGCAGTGTGGAAAATTAGTAAGCATGGACTATTTTACTGTCTGAAAATAGATAACAGCAACAGGACATCCAGGTTGGACCCCACGAGCCATAAAACTCAAAAGCGACTCTGCCGATTGTTCTGAAAGAGGCAGAAGTTTTATCTGTCAAACAGCAAGGGTCTTTATGAATTTGGTGCCTTTCTTCATTGAGAAAAGAGGTTAGGTTTCATACATCCCTGCTGGTAACAAATGCTTCTCTTGCAGTCTACTGTCACACACCAAGAGCTGGAACCCAGCAGCTCTTAAACCGTAGCTGCACCCTGGTGGGCAGAGCGGCACTGGCTACACTGGCTCAGTTCTGTTATTCTGTCAAATCAATTCTCCTCTTACCTCGGCTTCCTTGTTCTTCTCTTTGTCTCTGCCCATTGAACTTCTCCCATTGCTGGCAGTCTGCAGGGCTGGGATTACGGAAATCTGGTGGAGGGGCATATTGGCACAGCTGCAGGTTGCCAATCCCTGATTGGACGCCTGATCTCTTCACTCGCCCTGGGTAGCCCACCTGCACAATTGTTCATATCCTTGCTTTGCCAAGCTCGGGTCTAAATAAAAAGGGGAAAAATAGTGTTTGAGACACTGTACAGCAGAAGCCAGGGTCTTCTGGCCAAAATGTCAAGTTCCTTGAAAGAGGAGTTTAAAAGAAATGCAAGAGCAAATAATCCAGGGAGTTAAGATTGTATTCTCAAAAGGACGATTTGCTGCTAGTCATAACTCTACTGCTTTGTCACTGGAGCACCCCCTCTCCCCTAAGAGCGTTGTGGGAGACAATTCAATTTCTATGGTACCTAATAACTGTCATGGAAACCAAGGAAACCTAGGTCTCACAGGCCCTTATTAGCAACTGCTTCCTTTAATGGTACAGACTCCCACATTTGCAGCGGCTGCCACTTCTGCTTTTGTTTTTCTTCCCGACTCCCCAGGAGTCCACTAAGCACCCAGAGACACTGCATCCTGCTGACTAGGTAAATAAGCAGAAGGCTGAAAAGCTTAGTGTCCTATTTGGAGCCAAATCTCTCCCTTGAAAAGCTCTGCTAGCTGACTGTGTCCTCCATGCATCTACACTAATCTGCTTAGGTCAAAGGATCTGCCTTGAAGTGGAGAGCGTCAGGGGTGAGCTGAGTGATTGCAGCTGTCTGTTGGCTGGCTGTAAAGAGAGGTAACAGCTCCCTGCATCTCTCTGACTAAGACATCAGTAACCAGAGTCAGAAGCTATCAGTCATTCTGAAGCACAGACATCTACGCTACTCAGTTTTGCTTTATTGCAACTCCCATGCTCCCAAAATTTATTTGTTAGAATCACTAGCAGCTCTCCCTTGTTTTTCCAGGAAGGAAATAGGCTCCAGGAAGTCTTTACTGCCCTCTCAATCGAGGTAAATAATTTGGAGAAAATAAATGATCAATCAGAACTGCTGCCCTTTAAAAACAAAACAATCTTTCAGTCAGATGAATTCTTAAGACGCATTAGCTAGAAAAAAAAATCACTTTCCTCCCTGTGATTATTTCCTCTTTGTTAAGATTATAAGACATTTTGTCTTTAAAAGAACAGAATTTCTTTTTCTCATTTTGGTATACACATTTTATGCTTTTCTGGGTATTGTGAATAAATCAGATTTCCCACTCACTGTCTTTTGTGTTTGTTTACCCCCAAAGAAGGAAAATTCAGACAATTGCTTGATTTTTTAAGTGCATTCTCAAGCACTGTTTTATGAATTAGATTTTGTCCCTAACCATGAAGGATATCTTCGAAGTAGTCTCTACTCGCAATTCATCTCTAACTTTCTTTGTATTCCACACAATAATGCCATTTCCTAAAAGCTGTTACAATTTGTTCAAATTCAGGATACAGAAAATCATTGAAGAGGTAGTTACTTTCATTGACAATGAAATAAAAGTAGCCAATGTAAGGACAGCAAAGTTAAGCTATTAATCTTTAATTTAAATATCTGCATTGAAAAAAATACTTCAGTGTGTTTTCAAATGTTCTCCCATACTGTGCTATTTTTAACTTAAATTAGTCATCTTTGAGTGATTCTCATCCCTATGATCCACTGGGCTCATCTGAGGAGATTTACTCCCATAGATGTCTTGGGACATGCTAGTACAGTAGTGTTTAAGCACTGTTAATCAGATTCAGTAGAGCTGGGATGGGAACCCAAAGTGGTCAGTTTTTACAACATCTTGCACAAACTAATTTTGAGAATCACTACAGCCTATCATTGATATAACCTTAGCACAAAATAAGCTCATTAAAGGTTGGAATAGCAACAGATATCTTGCGTTACAGTAAGGGAAAAAAAATTATTTAGGAAACACTTAACTTGGCTTTTGATCATCATCTATCTAACCTTGCCAATATATATCTGACATACAGAAGTTTGAAGGAAGGCACTAAATACTCATATCTTCCAAAACTGCCATGTGCAGAGTAAAAGATTAACAGTGCTTAAACACTACTGTACTTAAGGAATACATCTGTGATGTGTAAGTGTTAAGGAAACATTTCCTCACTTTAAAAATAATTACTAATCCCTTTATCCAGGACTGTTTACATTAAGAAAGGGGTGAAAATTAAAGTCTATAAATCTAATAGTCATGACCAATACTAAAATTTAAATTACAAACCTCTTTCAAAAAATAATATTGTCACTGTTTACACTGAAATATGTTTACACATGAAATGTTCCATTAAAAGCCAAAGTGTTTTCCAGATAAAGTTAGACTTCGGTACTTTTGCCTAAAATATTAATTAAAGTTACAGAAAAGGAGATTTTTAGCTTGAATTAACTAAATGGCTGTCTTAATCCTGTACCTCATTATGCATTTGAGGTTATCCTTTGTTTGCAGTGAGATTTTTCAAAAATAAGAATTAAATTTTAAGTTAATTTAATTTATATGGTTGAGCTATTTCAATTAGCTTTCCCTTATCCTTAAAATGTAAACTATAAATTGAATTTCAGGAACAGAATATTTGTTTCCTAAAGTAGTTTATAAACCACATAAGAGGAAGTTCGTTATATTTTTATGTATTAGAAATAATAAAATTAATAATGGATGTTTAATAAATATTTATGTAATTTTGTATTAGCAATTACTAATGGAGCTCCTAAGATTTTCAAATTGTATCAGTGGGGAAAACATGTTTTTAACATTACGTGCTCAAATACTGGGCTACCCTGGAACAGGGGAAAATGCTAACATTAATTTCACTGACTTGCTTTCCTCTACGACCTTTCCTTAAGCAGCTCCTAAAGTGCTCTGCCAACTTGAAGCAGGAAGTCTCTGGGGTGCCTCCTTATGTAATATCCAAAGCTGAGATGACTATGGGAGAATGTGTTTCTCCTGTGGGACCACAGACCATCTTGTGCAGTAGCTAAGCCCTATGGAGTGATCAAGGAGCAATGCATTCAACAACCAAGCAGCAATACACAGTGGCCCTGCTACCAGAGATTAGTGATTCAGTTAATTTATATAGCAGATATGAGCACTACACATGATCTGGCTTCTAACCCTTACTTCTGTGGAACTTATGGACTATAATTTTTATTGAAACCATCCCAGGATATTCACCCACCCTCCACCTAGATACCATTCCTTATATATGCCTGAATAATATTCATTTTACCTCCCCATCCTGACTTCCAGTGCTCTGGTTCTGAGAATATCACTGCCTCTGGCTCCTGAATTTGTCACTTATGGTTCATAACTTTAATGCTAAGACTTCAGTTTTCTCTAACACTTTCTGATTTCCTTTCCCTTAGTATCTTGAGATTTAATAGAAAGCAAGAAGGGGGGAAGAAGAAAAAAGGAGTAAGATGCAATATGTCTTTGTACCAGTACCCCATGATGAATGGATTCATTGTCTATCTCACACATATACCAACAAAAAATTTTAAATAAAAGTTAAAAGTAAACAATACCAAACAAAATATGCCTCTGATCCTCTATCATAAGATCCACCTCTACCTTGGTCAGTGTCAAAGGAGAAAAATAGTCTCTAAGGAGTTATTTTGTAATTAACCATAAAAGGAACTACCATTTTAGGCAAAGACAAGAAAACTAATAACCATTTGCTAATGCGTTCAATAGACAGACTGATATTTCAATTCAATCAATGTTTATTAAGTATCTCCTGTGTTTTCTGAATTCTTCTGGGGTGAAGGGGCAGGAGGTAATGGTGAAATTATGCAGAACAAGCTCCATAACTAAGGAGTGTATTGTGTGAAAGAGATATAAGACATACATAGGTAAGTCAGTTTGAAAAGAGTCTAGCACATCATAATTAATTTTTGAGAGATAATACAGGCTGCTAAATATAAATGCCAAGGCAGGTTTTTCCACCAACAAATCACAAGAGGCCTAAGTAATTAAAGAAAGTATTAAGGGGGAACCGGGGCCCCAGTTGGGCTTGGAGGACAAGATGACTGAGACATTTCAAGGCACAGAAATTAGCATGAAGTTGGCATGTGAGAGGTAGGGACACTATGTTAAATAACACAGAAAATGTGTTTAAGATTGTCAGTTGGTTTAGGCCATACATGATCGCTATGATGTGATACTGATAGACACTTGGGAAGAGGAATGGAAGAAAGTCAGCCTAGGACAGCAATTGCCAAAATAATAACTGCATAGATACAAGGACTAAAAACAAAATAGTTAAGAATTTTAAGTAATCTGAAAATAGAAACAAGACACAGAGATGAAGAAAGGATATTTCATAACAAATCCCTGGTGAAAAAGAGCAAAACTGGATTGAGTAGGCTTTCAATGTCATCAAACGGGGCATTTGATGGCTGCTGTCAGAGGACACCGGGAAGAATACGTGGGAAGCTGTCCCTGCATGAAAACTTTATGGCAGGTGATAAAAGAGAAGAAAAAAGCACCAGGAATTTAAAGGCTACTTTTACCTGGGCAAACAGTGAAGAATATATTTATATAGAAGTCAGGGAACAATCCAAACCAACCTAGTTCAATGGGAATAATGAGAGGAGAAGGTGATTAAAATTTCTGGCCTAGACATGGAAGAAATGGGGAGCAGAGGGAGGAAGAGGAAGTAAACAAAAAGATTAGGATGTGGTGTATACAGCAATCTCCTACAATGAATGTAATTACTATGTACTACAGGCATGTACTAATACAAGTATTGTTAAAGAAATCTGCAAAGTATACAGTATTATAAAATGCTACTTTCCTTAGATTTTGTCTGATTTTTGGAATCCAAGTGTACTTATGTTTTGGGTGTGCAAGAAGCTTCCATAATTAGAACCACATCCTTGGAGTGAGAATATTTTGTCTCTGAGGACTTTCCAGATGCAACTGCATGATCAGTATTCGATACTGAAGGCAGTGCGGTGGAACGGATGAACCTTCAGGGTCCAGGCTTCCATTCTTTACAAAGTACTGGTCCTAATTTTGGCCACATTCATTTTCTGATGTTGGAACAGATTATATGGCCAAGCAGTTCATTTTAGTCTTCTGAGGAATTAACAGAACTCTTCACAGGCGTATAAATTGTGTATAATTATAGAAAGCATTAAAATAGTTG